CGCCCAGGCGCTCGGCGACGCGCTCGACGGTGCCGCGCGCGGCCACGGGTACGTCCTGCGTGGGGGGGTCTGTGTTGGGGTGTCACCCTCGAGGGGACACTGCAGGGACACGGGTACGTCCTGCGTGGGGGGGTCTGTGTGTTGGGGTGTCACCCTCGAGGGGACACCGCAGGGACACGGGTACGTCCCATGTGGGGGTGTCTTGTGTTGGGGTGTCACCCTCGAGGGGACACTGCAGGGACACGGGTACGTCCCACGTGGGGGTGTCTGTGTGTTGGGGTGTCACCCTCGAGGGGACACCGCAGGGACACGGGTACGTCCTGCGTGGGGGGGTCTGTGTTGGGGTGTCACCCTCGAGGGGACACCGCAGGGACATGGGTACGTCCCGCGTGGGGGTGTCTTGTGTTGGGGTGTCACCCTTAAGGGGACACCGCAGGGACACGGGTACGTCCTGCGTGGGGGGGTCTGTGTTGGGGTGTCACCCTCGAGGGGACACCACAGGGACACGGGTACGTCCCCCATGGGGGTGTCTGTGTGTTGGGGTGTCACCCTCGAGGGTGCCTCCTGTGGCCATGGGTAGGTCCTGGGTTGGGGGTGTTCAGTGCGTTGGGGTGCCGCTCTCGAGGGCACCTCCCGTGGGCATGGGTACATCCTGGGATGGGGACGGGGTTGGGGGTGTCTGTGGTGGGGCTGGAGGAGCCTGGAGCTCCATGTCCCCCTGGGCACAGAGCGAGCGCCTTGCGGTGCCCCCGCGCGTCCCCTCCCCTGCGACCCGTTGTCACCTCCCTGTCACCCGTTGTCACCCTGTCACCCGTTGTCACCCGTTGTTCCTTTCTCCTCCGCCACCTCCTGCCGTCGCCCAGCAAGAGGCAGCACCTGGAGCTGCTCGACATGACCGGCCTGCAAGAGGACGGCTCGGAGAGCGCCGGCCTTTGGGCCACCACGGTGGCCCTGGCTAAAACGTGCCTGGAGGTGGCCGCGCACGGCAGCCCGCCGCCGCCGAGCCTGCGGCCCGTGGAGGTGCTCGCCGACCTCTTCGTCACCGGCGCGTCCTACGGCGTGCTGTGCGAGGCGCTGCGGAGCGGCGCGCGCGGCGCCCTGCGCC